CAGCGGGAAGACACAGGAGGGCATCTGGGCCAGTGCTGGCCACATGGTGCTTGTTCCTCTAGGGCAGGGACTTGCTCAGCGGAAGAGCCACCTTCGGTAAATGTCAGGCATTTGAGAGGTGCGAGTGGGCTCCCGTGGGCACCCACAGCAGCAAGCTGCACAATTAACTCGGAGAGCCACATGGGGCTCCCGAGGCTCAGGTTGGCCACCCCTCCGAGATAATGCTGGCTAGAACACATCTGGGTTCTTTCCTTGGGGCTCAGGTGGAAGATACTCTCCAACAGTTTTTGGCTGAATGTGGAGGTCAGAGAAAATTAGAGGTATACTCAGAAGATTTATTATCTACCCATGAAAGTTCTTGGTCACTCTGTGCCATCTGTAGAACAGAAATTTGCTAAAGAGTAAGAGGCACTTGAAATATATTCGATTGAAACAATAATCAGTGATTTACATGGGGTAGCGAGGGGCACACACATAAAACTCCTCTTAAAATCCACATTTATTGCTGTAATTCAACACCAACATTCATTAAGGTTGGCTACTGCTGTCTGAGGTCAGAAAGACAATAAAGAATCTTTAATGTTGGTGTGAAACCAAATTACATATTAATAAAATTGCATATTAATAGTTTAACTCTTACGGGGGCAGGGGGAGAAAGGAGAAAAGCTGCCCCACGACTGAGAGACATGGGGAGCCTTGCCTTGCATTCATTTGATACCCACCTTTTAAAGCAGCACAACCTTGTGGCAGTGAATTCCACAGCTTCATTGTGCTTCCTTCCCTTTGTACTGAATCACCCACCATTCGGCTTCTTCGGAGGGCTCTTCTTAGATCTTCTGGGATGAGAAAAATAGCTCTCCGGTCCATTTTTCTCTGCACAGAGAAACCGTTTAGAATGGGGCGGGGGGGATACAAAGGCTAGGAAACCACCAAACAGCCTGGGGGATTCAAGGGGCTGAGACCCTTTGGGAAGAGCTTATGGGACTGACTGGGACCTCGGGAGGCTCCAGTTTGGTCTGCAGGCCAGAGTCTCAAGCCCAGGCACCTTCTGCCCTCCCCTTCCCCAGTCATCCGGGTTGTGAGGGTCAGGCCGGCCGTGGGCGGCAGCAAGGAGGGGCAGAGCACCGGGTCCAGGCCGCGAGCTTGAGCTGAGCCCAGAGCTCCCCACGGGCCAGAGGCGTGGGGCAGGCAGCGGGGCCAGGTCAGAGGCACAGACGAAAGCAGTCCCAGTTTGGCACGGGGGGGGGGGGGCAGTCGGTTTATTGCACTTAGCCAGAGATCATTACAAGCTAACAAGGTAAAACATTGAATTAACAAATAGAACCATAAATCAAATGTGTTAAAACATGATACTAAAGACAGGCCTGTTGTAATCCAGGACTGTGCCCGCTTCAAAGCCGAGAGGGAGAAAGTCAGAGCACAGTTCCAAAGTCAGTTCACTGGACAGACGCTGATGCAAGGAGGGCTGTGCGCGAGGAAAGACGGGAAGAGCAGGAGGGGCGCTGGCTGGAGCAGGGCAGGGGCCAGCGCACAGGGAGCCCCCAGGACACTCGCTGCTGCGGCCAGGAGCAGCTGTGCAGGGCAGCCCTTTGCGCTGGTCCGCGGGGTCTCCGCCTGCACCCAAGACGTGCCCCTCGGGTGTCCCGTGCAAGAGCCCGCAAAGGCGCTCCTGGCTCTGCGCGCACGGGCAGAGTCATTCCGGCCCTGATCCTGACACAGCTGAGATGCGGACGAGAGCGGTGCCACGCTTGTCGTCATCATGGGAGGCTGGACCGGGGCCTTCCTCCTGTTCTTCGCAGCCTCTTCTCTGTTCTGATTGCCGAGCAGCTACATGCCGCCGCCTGTCGTGCAGGTCATGGGTGCGGCAAAGCGGCCTGAGCTCCGAAACGGAGGCTCAGTCCGACTTGCTTCTCCTGCGATCCCGGCGGCACGGGCGAGGCTCCGGCAGAGGCCAAGGAGCACGGGCAGTTTGGGAGCGACTCTGAGCGCAACCAGAGGCCTCGCTGGTGCTTTTCGGAAGGACTGCGATCCTTCCAAGTGGGGAGCATCCCCATCTTCCCCGTCCCTGATGCACACTCATATCTAAGGTTAAAGATGTGGCAGATGACGTACGGGCTGAGCTTGGCAAGTGGGACAGGCGACAGGCCAACGGAGGGGTGGGTGGCTATTTTCGGGGGGGGGCCTTCAGGCCTTCATTCCCATGCAGCGCCTCTGTAAGGGAGCAACCCTTTGTCTGTCTCTTGCACGTCGGGGAGCTTCCCGACGGAGACCCCCTAGAGCCAGTCAGAAGGCCTGGTTCAGCCGCTGCGCTGTTTTCCACGTAGCAATTTTCTGCAGTAAAGAAAAGGCTGGAGGAAATGAGGGGAGCAGGGACGGTTACAGGTTGAGGACAGTGATGTCTGTTACTCCCCAAATTCTGGTACCGATGCAGTGTCACATCCGTGTGAAAGCGGTGCCGGGACCCTGCCGCGCACACCAAAGATTAATTCGTTCTTGAGGCTCTCTCTGGGCAAGCCTTGTCCAGCTAAAGGCGTGGATTGGCACAAGTCCTCGCTTGCCTTCCTCTTCGAACTCTACCATCGTCTTCCTCCTTCCCCATCCTTCCCTCCCCAGCCATTTTCTCCTTCTCGAGGCTGTATATTTGCAGGAGCAAATGGAAAGCAACCCGCATTTCGCAAGGAATTATTGCCATTTTAAAAAGTGCTAATTTCCTGGTGAAATTTATGCCTGCCAGCAGAGGCAGCTGAGGAGCACCCCAGGCAGTTCTAACGAGACAATTCATTAGCCGGAGGAGTGTACACACGCCATAAAGAACATTAATTCGCAAAATGAAAAACTAATAGAGTGTTTAGCCGGTGCTTTATCACTGGTGACAGCCAGCACTCGCCCAATCATTAGTGTTTACTTGAACGGATGGGGGCCGCCGCCCCGGCCTGGCTTATTGCCACACGCCTGGGAAGCGATCGCCGCACCTTCCCGGCTCAGCCTGCGAGCTGCACCTCAAGCGCCTCCACGTGCCGTACTTAGTGGCCCAGATTGATGGGCTCCTGCTCTGAATGCGTCCTCCATCATGAGCGTTTCCACTCGCTTCTGCGGCTAGAGGGAACCCTCTCTCGGTCTGGCCGGCTTGTCCCCTGGACACGCGCACACCACGCTGCCCGGTCCCAGAGGCTTGGGCAGGTGCCGTGCACCTGCGCTCGGACAAGATTCCCAGGCGCACACGGGAGATGGAGGGAATGGGGATCGGACTCGGAGGAGGGGAGTGGAGAGCTGACCAAGCCGTGGCTCTGAGTTCCCTCTCTGATATGGGGGTTGTTAGACTAGCGAGGCCCCAGCTGCCCAAACTCCTAGTGAACCAGTCCAAGCCAGTTCTGGATCGGAGCACTTCAAGGACAACCAGTGAGCCCCCTCACCTCCTGATTGTGGGAAAGAAGCCGGGGGGAACAGGGGCTGGAATCCAGGCGACCAAAGGTCAGGTATTTCTGGAAGTGGCTCAGACTTGGATGACTCTCTAAGGAAACAGAACGGCGTATTTGCTGGTACTGTGGGTTGACCCTGCACTTCCTTTTATCCGGAATCGGTGCCTGCCTGAAACAGGTGAGACGAGAGCCCCAGAAGTTAGGAAATTACCTTGGGAGGAGGCTGTCTGGTGAGACTCGCCTGGATCTAAGCCATTTATTTATTAGCTAGCATTTTTGACAGCTCATAAACCTCAAAGCAGCCTACAAGACACTATAAAAATTTACAGCAAAGAAAAGATAGCAGGTAATTACAGCCAGCCTAACGTGGAGATATTGGGCCAAAAGCTAAAAAACACAGAAGCCTGGAAGCTTTGGGGCAACCGTTCCACACCAGCTGAATCCTCAGTCATGGCTCCTTCTCTGAGCTCTGTCCAGTAAGGGTGCAACCGTTCCTTCCAGTGCCGGCTTTCTCTCGCTTTCTCTCGTTACGAGTTTCCAAGTTGCATCAGGAATTCAGAGGAACAACATGTGCATTATTCTTGTTAAAATATACAGATTTGCCCTGGCGTTTCAGCCAAGCTGGGTCCTGAAATCCTACGCTGATTTTCCTCCCACCATTGCCCCAAAATCTTCCCCACGCTCCGTTCAGACAGGAGCACTTCCACTGGGCCTCGATGGGGTGCGCAGCTTCGCGTCGTGTGTCACCCCCTGAGCTCTTGTCATTCGCATCCATTGATTTACAAGGCACAATCTTTCAAGATGCATCGCCGTGGCCTCAAGTAACGCAATGATTGAAATCACTGGTGACAACCGCACAAATGACTTAATTTTTTTTCTCCCCTTCACTTTGCCACAATGAATTATTCCTCTGTTTGTCAGAACGGGTTATTGTGGAGGCGTTCAGAACCATCAGGAAAGCAGCGTCCGTTGACAGAGAACCCACCTCGCAAATCAGTCTGATTAGGAGAAATTGCTGACCGCTAAACTAGTCGCTAGCTGGAAAGAAGAGGCGATGGGAAGGCCCTGTAGCGGGAGATTCTCTCTAGCCAACTAGTATGGAGTCTCATGGATTGGACAGAGGCAGTGGGGAGGTGGGGGCCCCTCACACGCCACCGGCCACTGGGCAGCTGGCTATTTCCAAGTCACCTTTTAAGCGCCACAGGACGAAACCTGGCAGGAAAGGAAAGCCTAAGGGAGGTGTGGGGAGGAGGCTGGGAAAATGCCCCCACATGCATGCACCCCACTTCCGGGACCCCTGGGGAGGGCGGGTGTCTGCAGGTCCACTGATGTGACACCGGCCATCTCAATCGGTGGCGCGGAAGCCTGCCGCGGCCCCCGGGAGTCACCCCAAGGCAGGGGTGGGGCCTCCGCCTGCGTCACGCAGCCACGTGTCCGGGTGCCGGGGAAGCGCTGCAGTGGCCCTTCCGCGCTCCAAGCCCCGCTCCCCTTCACGATTCAGGCCAGGGAGCGCCTCTCTCTGGAAAAGCCGGAGATGGCCGCACGGCAAGCGCTGATCGCCTCCCGCTCTCCTTTCCGCAGCGCCGTCTGGCCAGGAGGGCCACGCCAGCGGGGAGCTCCCACCGGTGTCGGAGCAGATCACGCAGACCCTCACGGAGCTGGCCCGATCCTTCCAGGAAATGGCTGACCGCTGCCTGCTGGTCCTGCACCTGGAAGTCAGGTACGGCGCTGCGTCGGCTGCGTGGAGTCGCACGGTGCTCGGAGCCAGTGCGAGCATCTTGGCCCCTTCGCCACCTGCCCCTGGACCTTAGAGGGTCTCCCGCAGGGGGGGCCGTCAGGGGCCATCCCGGCTGCGCCGGAATCCACCGGGCAGCCTCGTCAAGCAGGCCGCGGTTCTTGGTTATGAGTTACCGAGGAGGGGTGAGGCCAGGGTGGGCGATCTGCAGATCTCGTGGGGCCGCAGCTGCCATCATCTCACCCGAGGGCTGGTGGGAGTTGTAGTCTGGCAACTCCCAGAGAGGCCAAGTCGCCCGCTTCCATTGTAGGGCTGCCCAAGAATTTCATGAGAGCCGGTACGATACGGGGTCGGCGAGGTCCCTCTGCGGATTAATTTAGAATAGCATCGCTGTAGAGTTAGAAGGGGCCTTTCAGGCGGTTGGATCCCACCCTGCCCTCTGCCACGTGGGGTCGCCCCTCCGGCTGTTTAATTGGTTTGCTTTCCATGGCAGCTCCATTTCGTTGCCCTTGAAGTGGCATCCCATATCCATCGTGGGCGAGTCGGATGGGCATAGTGCGCAGGACAATATTGCGCATTATCATCGCTACCCTTCTCTTTGCTCCTGCTTTCTCGGCACGGCTTCTGTGGCGAGGACGGGGGCCTGGCCAAGAGTTGGTGTCAATGGGCACGGACAGACTGCCCACGGCAGAGACGAGGTTTTAACCAGCCAAGCCTGCCAGGTTGCAGTCCAGGAAACTGTGCCTGATCGGAACGGTGGAAGGGTGTCCAAGGATAGGTTGGACATGCACATGGTGGGCATGTTGTGAGCGGAGCTGTCTGGAGCCGGGGGTCAGACTAGATGACCCGGGAGACCCCTTCTGACTCACTCTTTTTCTGTGTTTCTAAGAGGGCTCACCCTTGCCGTGGGGGGGGGGGGGCTAAAATCCGCTCCCCATGCTGCTCTTTTCTCCACATCCTTCATGATTCCCCCAGCCAGAATGGCCCTTGGCCACATAACATGGACTTACGGGAATTTGCCAACGTGGCATCGAGCGCAGTAGCAAGCAGAAGAGGCGGCGAACATGTTGCAGGGACTCAGAGCGGGGCCTGGGCTCTTTTCCAGCCCGAGAACTGATGTCAAATTTGGGACCCTTTTCAGGTGGAGGCAGGTTCCCGTGGGGGCAGAGGGGGTGGGGGGCAGAACACGAGCAGATCCACACGTTGTGCCTTAACACTCCCCTGGCTCATCCTGGACTCTTGTATAGACCAAGACAGTACATGCAGCACTTCTGAGTTCATATTATTGTCACTGAAGTAATAACGGCACATATTAAAATACGTGCTTAAAGACTTTAGAGGCTGGGAGGACAAAGGCCAGTATGACTGCAGGTCAGCTCCGCTGGAAGTGTGCCGCAGAGGTGGGACCAAAACCGGTCCCCTCCCTCGCACCCCTCTGCTGGCCCCTTGATTCGGGCCTAGAGATGCATCAGAAGCTGGGGCAGGTGAGGGAGCACCAGTGTCATACGAGCTCAGCGCCTATGCCCAGCGAGAATTCTTTCAGTCATCTTTTGCATCGGGCCAAGTTTCTAGTCCTCAGTGTTGACCTGGCAGGTGTTGCTTCATATCTTCCAGCGCTCCCTTTCTGATTATGGGCAGTCTGCCAGATGGCCCTGGTGCGTACACAAATCGCAGCGGGCTAGAGAAAGCGACCTCGACTGCCTCACCCAGCCAGAAAGCCTGACCGGCCTGCAGAGGCTATCGGTGTGAGGTCCCATATGCTGAGCCGCAGCAATTTCTGTAGGCACCAGTCTCATCTGAGCTGCCGCGTTCCCCCTCCAGACTCCAGGGGCAACACTCGAGGGTTTTCCTGAAATGCTTCCAAAGGACGTATTCGCTGAACCAGCGTGTACGACATCGAAGGAGCAGAAAGGAAAGTACGTTTGGCATTTTACCCACGGCGACATGGCACGGTTTCTAATCAACAAGGGTTTTTATGTGCATTTTCTCCGCAGGGGGCAGGGAAAGAAATGACAGGCTGAGCACTGGCTATGTTTGAAGCAGAACCCACCAGGCGGGGTGTTTCCTATTATTAATATTATTATTCACCTATTTGAACTTTAAAGGGAAAACACTAAGTTGTCATTTTGTTTTCGGAATGTCACCTTTATCAGGCAGTTTTGTTAAATAAAAGGTCTACCCTTCGGGGGGCTTTGAGTGATTTGGCATCATCCACAGATCAGTTAATGGTCCCGAGGACGCATTTTGCAAAAATCAACCTTCCCGCTGTGCAATCAGCAATGTTTTCAGAAAACCTTAATGGCAAAGTTGCGTCAAGGTCAATGAGGAGGCAGGGGGACCTGGAGCGGAGCGCTGACTTGTCTCGTGTGCTCCATTCAGCTTTTCCACAGACCCGTGTTGGATCGGCGTCAACGCGACTCCCATCAGCAAGCCAGTGTCAGGAGCTCTTCAGAGCAAATGCAGCTGCCCTTCCTCCTCATCCTCGTCTTCCTCCCCCTCTCCTCCACCCTCATTGGCTAAGCAGTCTGTCGCCACTGTCATTAGCAGCGGTTTGGGTGAATGGAAGTTCGCATTTAAGGAGAAGGTGAAATTGCAGGTTTCGGGTCCTGGGTTAAGGGCGCCCCAAAACGCAGAGCGCTGGGGTACTTGGGTGCCAGTCAGCTTGTTAAGTGAGTTCAGGAAGGGTGTTCGGCTTCAGAGAGCAGAGCAGCTGCGGGAATGCTGTTGGTGTTCCCAGATCTGGGAAGATCGGTTCATCAGCATGGACATATTCAGGGTGTTTGAAGATAGGCTGGACATGCACATGGTGGGCATGCCACAAACAGAGCCAGCTGGAGCCAGGGGTCAGACTAGATGGCCCGAGAGGCCCCTTCTGACTCGCTCTGTTTCTATGTTTCTATGACATGCTGGTAACTCACCTGCACCAGCCTAAAGTTGTGCCACCAAACCCAGCCCTGCCACAGAGCAGGATCTCCCAAGAGCCCCAGCAGTGCCAAGCATGACCTCCATAACCCCTAGTCTGTGGGGGATTCCTAGCCCGAATGAGGAGTCTCTGGATGTGAAGGGCTACAAGGATGGTGGCTGGTTTGCAGGGAAAGCCATCTGAGGAGAGACTGACAGTTAGAACCACTGGGGTGTGGAATGGGCTTCCACGGGAGGTGGTTCAGGCTCCCATCAGTGAGGGTGTCCAAGGACAGGCTGGACATGCACATGGTGGGCATGTCATGAGTGGAGCCAGCTGGAGCCCAGGGCAAACTAGATGGCCCAAGAGGCCCCTTCTGGCTCGCTCTGTTTCTAAGTTGAGGTGTAGCCAAGTTGTGATGGTGTAACATGGTGTCCTGCAACAACAGGGAGTTGGACCCTATGGCCTTCATGGCCCCTTCCCACTCTGCTATTCTAAGTTCTAAGTTGTCTTCTGCACATGAAGGTGTAGAGGCCCTGGGGCTGCCCCGCATTCTCCCTGGAGATTTCCTAGCTGTGTGGACAGGTCTGGCCAGCAGCTTGGTTCTTTGCCCACTGCGGCTCCAGTCCCAGCTCTGGGCACCGGCCTCAAGGACGCTGGGCTGAGGAACACCCGGTGCTTTCTCTGGGTGCCCACCTGCCATTTTTCCTCCTCTCCAGCCCTAAAGCCTTTCTTCAGAGCAGCCTCGCTCCAGCAGTCAAGGCCTCCACCAGTCCCCTAATCTGCAACTGGGAAGCATTATGGAAATTGGGCCAATTTGCCTAAATGTAATTGACGCACTTTACAAAATTTGCCTTTTGTGCAGCTCTGTTAGGTTGGTTGGTTGGAGAAGGGCCTTCTCTGGGGTGGCGCCCCGATTGTGGAATTTGCTCCCCGGAGAGGTTCGCCTGGCACCGTCACTTTATTCTTTTTGGCACCAGGTTAAAAAAGTGTATTTCCCCAATGTTTTAAGATTTGACTGTTTTAATAGGGGTTTACTGCTGTTTGGAAAATTTATTAGGACGCCGTGTTCTATTTTATATCGTCTTATTGTTAAACTGTCCCAGGACCACAGTAAGGGATGGCCTAGAAAAGTTTTCAGGAAATAAACTGGCTGATTTGCCCCGTCAGCTATGGTGGCTTCTAGCCCATGCCTGAGCCCCATCTGTCTGTCCGCCCGTCCGTCCGTGACCAGTCGGGTTACTGGGCCTTGCCCGCTGTAGACTAAGCCACAGATTTGCTCCAGCACACAAGGGCCTGTCCTTGCCTTCTGCGCCCGCTGCAGGATCCACTGCTTTCACTACCTGATCCGCCTGGCCAAGCAAGGGAACTACGCCATCGTCGCCAACGTGGAGAGCATGGACTACGACCCGCTGGTGGTGCAGCTCAACAAGGACATCAGCGCCATCGAGGAGGCCATGAGTGCCAGCCTGCAGCAGCACAAGTTCCAGTACATCTTCGAAGGTCAGCCGCACGCCGGGGATTCCGGGGCAGCAGGCAGTCCCTGGAAGGGTCGGCTGGAGGGTGCGGAGAAAGCGGGGAAGGCAGAGCGCGCTGGGTCCCGAGAGCGCCTTGCGGTCGCGTGGGCCACAGGTCCGCCACGCAGAGAAACTCCCTGCACGCCAAGAACGTGGCAGGGGGGAGAAGGCGAGGCCAGATCTTCCGTGCGTGCTGGTTTTCTGTGCGGCAGGATGTGCCCTTTGAAGCGCCTTCTGCCGTCGGCCACACAGACCTCCACCCGCAGCACGGGCACGGCCAGGCGGGGGGTTCCCTCTCAGGGACAACAGAGACACTGTGTGCTCGCCAAAGGCTGGCTCCATCCATAAACGTTAAGGGCAGCGATTACTATGGGCTGGGTTTCCGCGAGTGCAACTCGAGGGAGCCAGAGGGCAAATTTTCCTGTTGATGCTGCTCCTGGCCTGGATCTGGCTCTTTTACACATGTGATCTTTTCCAACTGCACCGTTCCTCTTGCTCAGTTCCATGGGCTGGGGAGGCCGATCCGGGCACTGGGCAATCTGTGCTTTTCAGACAGAAGAGGCATTTTACGATCCCAGCTGTTCTGTCTCAACATGCTGTGGCCCGCACGTTTAACGCACCAGGTGCAAGGGGCTGGCTTCCAGAGCTGCAGTGCTGCATATCACATAATCTCATAGATCAAGGAAGCGGGTCGGTGGGTGGACCAAATCCCATTTCACTTGAACCCCTTCCTCATCCTAAAGGCTCTGGGTGGGCAGCAAGATGTTAAAAAGGTTCTTTGCAACCTTAGACTTCGCCGAGCGTTTACCCCCAAGTGGATTCTTCTTAGAACTCAAACAGCTCTAGCTGTTACGTTAGTGGTGGATATTTGTGGACCAGCTGTGTCAGGTTCTTTTTAGTGTCTGTAAAATTTGGTCTTGTACATTTGCCAAAAGAGAAGAATAAATAAGGATGCAGAAACCGGCGGAGTTCCAAAGCAAGATCAGCAGAGACCCTCGGCATTCAGCAAAATCTAGGCACGCTTAGCAGTTTCTGCTGAATCTCTCTTTCTAGCATTACTCACAGCTAGTGCAGTTTTCACAGTCCCCAGCTCCCACCTTCCCACTGAATTTCCTTCTGGCACAGCAGCCGAAAACATAAAATTTTGTAAAATAAATTACACACCGCAGGCATATGCTGGAAAAATTTCCGTGTGTGTCCTAAGGAAGAACTGGCCCATGACAAAGCCAAAATTTGGCCTTTTTTGTCCGGCCTGTTCAGCCGAACCTAGTTATCCTATCACTTAGCATTTTCCTGAACTCAAAACTACCGCTCCTTCCATCCTTTCTCCTGCCTGTTGGCCTATAGGCGAAACTTCCTTTCCCACTTTATTCAGAAAATTGCTGTTGTTGTTCCGTCCAGGCTTGGGCCACCTGATTTCCTGCATCCTCATCAATGGTGCCCAGTACTTCAAGCGCATCAGCGAGTCGGGCATCAAGAAGATGTGCCGAAACATCTTCATCCTGCAGCAGAATCTGACCAACATCACCATGTCACGGGAGGCCGACCTGGACTTTGCGAGGTGAGGTTCAGTCCGAGGCACCTCCGGCAAAACCGGCTGGGGAGCCCAGAAAGACCCCTTCCTGCCTAAGACCCTGGATGGTCCCTGCCAGCCAGGCCAGGGGCTGCTGGGCTGGGTCAGTTCCCATGTCGCTCCCTCCTGGGGTGGGTCGAGGCCTAGGTTGTTGATTGGTTTGGGCTGGCCGAGATCACGTGCGTTTCTTCCCCGTTCCTAAAAAAGGTTGGGTGGGGAAAGCTGCTTACCAGCAGCACACGAAGAATTCGCCGAGACACTGCCGTGCTCTGCCGTCAGCATAGAATCATAGAGTTTGAAGGGGCCTTGAAGGCCGTCGGGTCCAACCCCCTGCTGTTGCAGGACATCTTTCTTAAATCTTGGTGCCCAGAACTGGACACAGTATTCCAGGAGAGGCCTGACTAGTGAGGAGTATAGAGGAACTACTACTTCTCGTGAATTGGAAGCAATTCTTCTGCTAATGCATCCCAAAACAGCACTTGCCCTTTTGGCGGCTGCACCGCATTGTTGGCTCACGTTTAGCCTGTTGCCCACAATTACTCCAAGTACGGAACATGCTGCCATACCCTGCTCCACCCCTGTGCCAGATGAAGTTGTTGCCTTTACCATCCGGCTTGGTTCCCTGGCTCGAGCTGTCTGCCTTGTGGATCACCAGATCGTTCCTTCCATGTCGCGACCCTTTGCTCACTCCTCCCGCCTGCGCGAAGCACACTCAGATTTCACTGCGGCGGCCTCACCCTCCTGAACACGCAGCGGCGTGGATGTGCCCGTGTGCCAGGGCTCCCCCGACAGCACACGCATCTGGCCCGGGTGCCTTTCCCAGGTGCAGTTCTGCCGTGGTCCCGTGGGGGACGTGGGCGGGCGCCCAAGCCAGAGACAGTGAGCATCGCCCGAGCCGCCCCCTCCAGAGGGAGCGCGTTGGTGCTGCAAAGAGAAAGGAGAGGTGGCAGCCGCCTCTCCCCGGCCGATTGTCTCTTTAATCTCGGCGTTTGTTGCTTCAACAGTGGGCAGCCGGACGAATGAAATATTCATAAGGATATTTTGGGGGTCAGGAATCAAAATGCCTGTCTAGACGGAGCGGAAAGCCGGTGTGCCCCCCCCCCCCCGCACACCCACACGTGGGGCTTGTATAATCCACCAAGGGCGCGGGGGGGGGAGCCACCCTCTTTTGTGCGTCTTCCTTCCCCCAGACCAAATTAGATGGGTGAAGAAGCCCGGCTCGAGCAGATTTAGGGGAACAAAGTCTGCTGGCGAGCTTCAATTATTTGGCTTCTCATATGGGGAATGATCTCATTATTGAGTTAGCCTATTCATAATAACGTTGACATGGGGAAATTACAAAGCCCCGGGGTGAGGGGGAGGGGCGCGGGGGGAGGTTCCATTACCGGCTCCCCCCCCCGGAATAGAATTCTCAAATTCAATCAGTTCCCTTCTAAATGGTTTTTTTAAACTTGAAATGTTAACTAAATTAGCCCAGGTTTTTGGCAGGCAGTGCTGGGGTTGGACATGCGCTGGCAGCAGCCGGCATTCGAATAGGAGACCCAAGAGCAAGGGGAGGCCGGCGCTGTGGGAGCGGGACAGTCGCCGGAAGACATCGGGGGCCAGGCCCGCCGCATCTCCGAGGCCGTTTGTCTGGGTACTCTGCACATGCTGGTTTCCGAGCGGCAGAGCCAGCGGCCCCGACGTGCTTGTCGTGGACGCCGAGGGCTTCCAGGGGCACGGATAGGTAGTGCCCGCTTCGCACAGCCAGGCCGGCCGCCTCGGCGGTTGGCTGCAGCTCGACCCACGTGAGCCTTTCCCTGCTGGTGCCAGAGCAGCTGTGGGCGGCCCCGTCGGGATGCTCCATCCGCCGTCACTGCAGGCCTGCAGTTCCCCCGTACGCAGGGCCTCTGCGGGCAGCACCCCAGCCCTGGCACGCATGCGAGACCCCCGCTCCCGCAGTGCGAGCCCCTGGCCCTGATCCGAGCCTGGCACCCCCGCGGCTCGGTTCCTGGGGAGAGGAGCCGTTCCTGGGCCCTGCGCCAGGCCTGCTGCCTGGCCACACCTGCAGGCCTCCAGGCGTGGCCTCCACCCAGCTTGTCCGCGCAGAAGGAGTCCATCTGCCAGTAGTGACTCGCGCGGAGGCACCTGCAGACCTGGATGCTGGCGCACGGAGGGACCGGGACACAGGGCTGCCCCCCCCCCCGCCCGGCAGATGGTGTGTGCATGTGCGGCCGGCCCAGGCAACTCCGCCAGGGATGTGACCCGGCTGCTCCCTAGCCACGCCATGGCCCCCTCGGGTGGGTGGCGCAGGAAGGGGGTTCGTGTGCCGCAGCCCTCTGAAGCTGACCCACCTTTGGCCTTTTCAGTGGGTGGCCTGGACGGAGCCCATTCAGACAGACCAGACTGTTCCACGAGGCCTCGCCTGGTGGCTCACCCCCGGGCATCCCCCGGGATGCACGGAGCCCCTCGCACAGGTGGCAGGTGTCACCCAGGGGTGACAAGGAGGGCAGAATGGGTGCCGTTGCCCCGGCCCTCGCAGGACATGTCCAGGAGCGTCTCCTGGCTCCGTTGCCCCTGTGCTGTTTGCACTCTTGCAGCGAAGGGCTAAATGTCGCCTCCTTTATCTTCATAAAACAGGCAAACATTGTGTGTTTGTGTGTGCGTGTTCCAGTCCAGTCCACCTTTTCAACAGAATTTAAATCAGATTACAAAACTTTCAAACTATAACCAGAATTTAAGTCAGTTTTACAACACTCGCAAAATATATAGCAGATATTCTCTTCAAACAGCCACCTCCTGAAACACACGGCTATAAAAGCAGTGCCAACTTTAAAAAAATAAAAAAATAGCCAAAAGCATCAACTCATCCAGTCTGAAAAGCCCCATGAAAGAGGAAGTACTTGCACTGAGCACTTGAGTATTGCAGCACCAGCCTGACTGATGGGCTTCCTGGGCAGAAGGGTTTTGAGGTGGCGGTGCCACCACCAAAAGGCCCTGCTCCTAGCCACCCTCCAGCTTTCCAGAAGGGGGGCCCTCACCCTTTGAGGTGCCCCTTGAGCCGTGTGCTGGCACGGGCATCCCCTCCCACACCTGCCTGGGTCTTTGACACGGATTCTTCTCCGCATGGTGGGCACCAATTCACGGGCAGGTTCCGCCTGCCCTGTGCGGGTCCATATGCCGAATCGGTACAGCTCCAGCAAAGCACTTGATGGTTTCTTGCTCGGAACATGAGCATGCAAACTTCCGAGTTTCTCAGAACTCTTGGCCCGTCTCCTGGGGTGGGTGGGTGGCCACAAATAAGAGAGAGAGAGAGAGGGAGAGGGAGAGAGAGAGAGAGAGAGAGAATGAGTTCCTGTGTGAGTGCTTTGGAGTCATGTCAGTCCTAGCCCTCCTTGCAGAAAGGTGCTTGAATGATTTCAAGAAGCAGGGGTAGAAAAGGCCTCTGACCGACCAGCTGGGCAGCAGTTCTGGTCACATCAGTCTGCACTGAGTCCAGCAGCCCTTTGGCCCGGCTCGGGGTGAAGCCACTTCTCTGGGGGGGAGGGTGGCAGTGGGGGGGGGGTTAAATGATGCCACCTCTTTCCTCTGAGACACACTCTGAAAACAGGGTGTGATGCAGCAAAGAGTGCCGGGAGCTGGCCAGCTTGGGTCCCGTCTGCTCCCATTGAACTGTTTGGCAACGGGCTGACTCGGTGGCGCATGTTCGGCTGGGGCCGTGCCCCGTGGTGCTGGTGCTGTGCGTTAGATTACATCGGGTTGCCAGGGTCGCTTCTGTGCCGCCGGTCTGAGGTTCTGTTGTTTTTAATTTCGTTCCGTAGCAAGCTGCGGGGGCTTTCCACCCGGAACCGTCTGCTCCACCGGGGGCGATTTGGTGATGTAATGCTGCCATCTACTGGCGCTTCTTGGCAGCAGCTGGACGAGTATTCCCATATTCTTGATTGCTGAGATTATGCCTTTTCCCCATGGAACTTATTCCCAACTTGCCCTCACAACAGCTTTGCGAGGTAGGCTGGACAAGCCCAGCTTTCGATTCATCACCTGCTCCCACATCCCACTTGTACAAAGGCAAGAAGAGGCGCAGGGTGCCCCCCTTTCTTGGTTTCCCCTGCAGTAGAAGCTTCTGTTTCTTGTCTCGCTAAATCGGTGCCGCTTCACGAGCAACACGAAGGAGTTAATGCTGGCCAATTCGACCGCGATGCAGTATTTCGCAGGACCGCGGCTTTGAACATCCTTCCAAAAGCACCGTGCAGATTATTGTAATAACAGTGGTTCAGAGCATCGTGTTTTGGCATCTGCTTGATGATGCTTCTGTTCTATGTGGCTGGGTATTTTCCCCGGTTGTTGATAGCTTATCATTTTGCCAGTGCATATTCGTCTGCTGAATCTTCCCTGCGGTTATCGAAATTTCCTCTGCATCTATGAAATTAGAGAGGCTTCTATTCATTGTTTGTGGGGGAGGGGGAGAAACCTCACTTATCGCCACAATGGGGGCATGTTCCGAAGAAACATTTACCAAGGGGAGATTGGCGGGGAAGACACACATAGCCACACGCCTCGGCCTTGTGTGCAGGAGACGCAGGAACGAGAATTAGCAACACTTGGCTGCCTTCGTGTGGTTGTAAGCGAGGCACGGAAGGAAGACGAGCCGTTCGGAGAAGCGTGCAGCCAGTACTTCACGCATCCATACCGGGGGTGCTGAACCGCCTCCCAGGGCCGAGGTCCACGGTGGGGAAGTTCTGGAGATGTATTCCGGTGCTGAGCAGGACTGAAAGCCAGAGTCCAACAGGGCCCACCGATTTCTGCTTGGAGCTGCTGGAAGAGCCCAAGGAGGCATGTCAGCACTCCGGAATGGGGGTGGGAGGGCCTGCACCAAGCTGGGAGGCTGTCAGCACTTGGTGGTCCGGGAAGGGGGAGTGGCCATGTGGAGAACCACAAGGGGCTCGGCTGGGGACACGGGGGGGCTGCAGTGGGGCCGAGGCCTGAGCCACGTGGCCCAATCCACGCAG